ACATTGGAGCAGATACTGACGCTCAGAGGAACATGTTTGGCTTCCCAGTGAACTTTGGCACTGTCGCTGGGTAGACTTTCCTTGTCAAAGAGGCATTCAAAGTCAAAGGTGGCATGGAACGGGAAGAATTTTAAATGTTCTTCGATGGTGATGCCTTCTTCTTTTAGCAGCTCGAAGATGGTTTTGGGGTTTTTGAACACTCCACCGGGAAACTTGTAACGAACTTTGGCTTCGCAGGTTCGCTCATGTCTGTGCAACATACCAACATGCTTCCAGAGCTTTCCACAGCGAGAACAGGCAAACGATTTGGAATACTTGGGCATACTTTTGATGAAAGAGAAATGGTTCTTGTGTAAGTTGAGGTAGAGGTTGGTACCATATTTCTCACAGGAACGATGAACAGGATGGGCTACYGTCTTGCCATTYTCCAAAGGTTCCAAGGAATAAACAAAAATGTTGATTTCAAATAAGTTTTCCAGCTGCGGCAGTTCATCGAGCGTGACGCCTTCAAACTCACTGCATGACTGACCAGGACAAAATCTGCATAAGAAAACAAAAAGATAATTAGTGTATGAAAGTTATTGAAAATAAATTAAAGTAACCAAAACTACAACAACAAACAAATCATTTGATAAAAATTAAATCTTTACCTTTGAAAACATTTCTTGGTTTCTGTTTCCAAATTCTTGGTGTGAAAGCCACGAAGGAGTGCCAATGCTCGAAAGAAGCACAAATTATCTTCATATTGTCTCCCCGTTTGACGATTCCAATCTAAAGGAACGATTCCTCGATTTTCTACAATGTAGTGGGGTAAGAATCGACCTCTTCCAATGGGATGCCCTCGAAGTTTGGTGACGAAGAACGTCATGTTGGTGATCAAGTCTACAATCCACTTGGAGTTGGGTCGAAGCTGTTGGGCCCAGCTGAGAACATCAAGATTCTTTAAAGCCTCGCGTATGTTTTCCAAATCGGCTCTTGTGGCAATAATAAAGGGTTGATCAAACACTTGGTTGTTGTTTCTTGAAGTGTAGTAGTACTGAAGTTCGTTGGTTTCGTTGTTTCTYAAAATGAATCCAAAGGCAACATTGATTTTGAAGACTGAATTCTGGTCGTTGAAAATATCATCTAAGTGGTGTAACAGCTCATCAGGACGAAGAGAGTAGAGGCGAAAGTTATAGGTATCGGCAAGCCGATTTCCACGACTGAATCGGGTTCGGATATGGTTCCAGTTCTGTCGGTAGACTTCGGAATCACCTCGAGTTTCTACTGGCAGGACATCCATATCACGAGGATCTTCATGAACAGGAAAAGGAGCTCTTGAAGGAAGYTTTTTCTGTCTTTTGGGGGTTGTTTTTTCAGTTGCTTGATCTACGAAAAAATATAACGCATTGGAGTGTGAATCGATCGTTTTTACTGCTCAAGCACAAATAAATAATATTRTATTGAACACTTACCTAAATTACTTTCCTGAAGCTTTCTTTTCTTGTGTGCAGTCTGAAYATGCTTGTTGAAAACACGTTTATCACATTCGACATCCCTATCGTGGACTTCTCGCTCATGCCTGGTTTTATTAAACTTGGAATTAAACTTCTTTTGACAATATGAACATTCAAACTTCTTTTCCACTGCCTGGTGACTTTTCTCATGGCGCCTTAAGTTGTCCGATCGTGTGAACTCCTTATCGCAGGTAGAGCAACGGAATTTCTTTCTTGGAGGAACATTTTCTTTCTCCTGTTCCAATGCGCGCTTTTTACCTCTTCCATCTTGAGTAGGT